TGAATCACGAGAAGGTCTCGAGCGACAGCGCGGTTCCTGAGTTCGGGGGCCTTCTTGGCCAGGGGCTCTCGGAGTAAATCATGAGGGAATAAAAAGCAGGAGCCCTTGTCGTCGTGGCTGACCCTCCGCCAACGCGACTGAATTGTGAGGAAGTCTCGAGCGAGAGCGCCGTTCCTGAGTCCGGGGGCCTCTTTGGCCAGGATGTCTCAGAATAAATTGTGAGGAAATATCGAGCGGAAGCCGTTGTCGTCGTAGCTGGACCCCCATGGGCACACTTTACACTCAAGCCAACGCTCGAGCGGGAGCCTCGTTTTCAGAGAACATGCAGCCAGCGTCGAGGCGAGAGCGCGCGGAACCGCTTCCGGAGATCAACAATAATTACCATCTAGAAATGAATACTCAACGACGAACAACTAGACACAACTGCCATCGAATCTCCAGGAGGAAGCACGTATGCTCCAGGCTCCACCCTCGAGGGCAGCAGCAACGTCGGAGCGCCTATGCCAGCCTCGAGGCTCGAGGCTCGAGATTCGAGGGCCGCTTCTGTGCGCCTGTTGGCCTGGGACCTTGAAGGCGGAGACTGCGGACTCCGACAGGCAGCCTGCTACCAGAAGCAAAGCGACATAAAGAACGAAGGAGATTCCTGGCCACGGATGAACAGGGTCTGGCGGCGCGCACAAGGGGGGTGTAGGGGGAGGGGGGCAGGCTTCGTAGAAGGAGGCTGCTTCTTAGAAGGCGCCGGCCTCACATCTACAGACAAGGCCCGCGCCCTCCGAGAAGCAGGAAGCAGGGTGCTTCCAAGAGGCCTTCCTTGAAGGGGCCCTGGGACACACTAAGAAATACACATAAATAGCAAGATCCCCCCACATTTCCCCATATTTTCGGCGAGTTTGCCTTCCCCCCCACTTCCCATATTCTCCTATATATATATATATATATATATATATATATATTATATATATATATTTGGGGGGGAACCGACGATCAATTGTGTCTGCGTGTTTTTTCCCTCCTGGTTCCTCCCGAGGCCCCGACGCGCCCCCACACGGGCGCGTGGACGCCGAGCCGCCCGCCGCAGGGCCGCATCACAAGGGGGGGGCACACGCCCGCCCGCAGCGGCGGCGGCGAGGCCGGCCCGAGCCCGCAAGAGGGGCACGGCGGCAGGCGCCGCGCTCGCGGAGCCTGCCGCCTCGCGGCGCCCCCCGGGGGGATGGGCGGCGTGCCTATATCAGGGGGACGTAAGACCTGGGTACAGGGGACTCGGAAATCCCCGACGAGGTCGTCAAAGAAATGACGAGGCCGAGCCTGCATTTTGACGAGGCCTCCCGCTGCAGACATCCCACGAAACTCATCCTCGTCAAAATCCGAGGCGCGGTCGTCAAAAAACGATAGCGAACCCGAGTCCTGGCAAACCCGGGTCTTACGCTCCCCCGACCATAGGGGGGTTATAGGAGGCAGCTGCTGGGAGGTCTGCCTCGGAAAGACTTTAACTCGCCATCGCTCGGGCGTCCATGCCCTGTGCTTTTTTTTTTCGGTTTCGTGCGTGTCTTTTTGGCCGAATGATCAAGGATGCTCCTCGATGGTCCTCGCCGAAGGAAAAAATGCACACGCCCGAGCGATGCCAAGCTAAGGAAAATTAAGCCCTCATTTGGGAGCTGTGACGCCGGAGTGGGCCTCGGGCACGAAGCGGGATGAAGCCGGATTCAGCGGGATTCAGCGGGATTTCAAAGGGATTCAGCGGGATCCAGCCGGATTGAGCCGGATGTCGGACCAGGGCAGAATCAGAATTTGACCTCCCAGGAGTTGCATCCGAAGGGGGGGAGGTGAGACGGTTTGGAGTCCCGAAGCGGTGCGGTGACACACCGTGCGGTGACCTCGAAATCCCCCAGGGCCTCACCGCACGGTCCGTCACCGCACGGTCCTGGGACCCTGGAGGCCCCTGTCGCCCGAGACGTCCTCGGAGAACGACCCGAGTCCCGAAACCGTGCGGTGACCCCGAATCCCCACCGACTCACCGCACGGTGTGGTCACCGCACCGTTTGGGGACCCCCGAGACGGGGAAGCTTCGGGAGCGTCGGGGCTCGGGGCTCGAGGCTCGAGGATTTGTTGAGCCTCGCCGTCGGCTCTCGGCGGCTGTCCATCCTCGGGGTGCGCTCCAGCAGCTGCGCCTCGCCGAGGGCGCTCTGGGGGTGCCGGGAGCGTCCCGAGCGGACGCCGGAGAGCCGAGCTGCGACATCCAAAGCACCAGGCGGCCGAGAGAGGGCCGGCCTTCTCAGAAGGCTCAGAAGGCCTCTGGCCTTCCGAGAAGATGCCTGAGCCCTCCCCGAAGACCGAGGCGGCTCCTCAGAGGGCCAGAGAGCTTCTGAGAAGCCCCGCGGCCTTCTGCGAAGGCCGGCCAACCTCGCTCCTCCCCCCTCGGCGCCCCAGTGGGGGCGGAGAAGGCGGCGACCACGACCGAGCGAGGGGAGACGTCACGGGCGGGGAACAGCGTGTTTCGCCGCGGCGGCCCCGTGGTCGCTCCGCTCCAAGGGGCGGGAGGCTCGGAGGAACTCGGGGGGAGGAGGAGGAGGAGGAGGAGGAGGAGGAGGAGGAGGAGGAGGAGGAGGAGGACGAGGACGAGGAAGAGAGGAGGAGGAGGAGGAGGAGGAGGAGGAGGAGGAGGAGGAGGAGGAGGAGGAGGAGGAGGAGGCAGAGGAGGAGGAGAAGGAGAAGGCAGAGGAGGGGGAGGAGGGGGAGGAGGAGGAACACGACACATAAGCTTGGGCACTGGGAAGTGGATACCGTGTCGCGCTGCAGCGTGGACGGCCAGGGCCGGCGGAGCGACACGCTCTCCAGAAGTTCCCGACCGTAGGGGGGGCGGCCCAGGGGGGGGAGCAACATGGAGCCCAGGATCGGCGATATACCTCGCCGATGGATGGGCAGTGGCCCCCCCCCAAGTGGCGAGTCCGCCCGCTCCTGGGCGGGGTGGGCTGTCGGGCCCCGATCGGCGAGGTGTGGGCGATCCAGGGACGATGCGTCCCCCTGGGCCTCTATATACCACCCCAAAACGCCCCCGTCCCAGACGGAGCGAGGAGACGCCGGCGTCGACACGGGCCGTCGTCCCTCGTGATCAGCGCCAGTCCGTGGAGCATCCTCGTGAGTCTGCGGCGGCCAGCCTGGGCCATGGCCAAGGTCGGCGTCGACCAGGTCCTGTGGCGTCTGGGTCGTGGTCCTCGTGCTTCTCCCTCTCGACCAAGACCTCCGACGATCTGATGCGCTCAGCCGTGGCGTTTGTCCTCCTCCTCGGCCTCGAAAGGGCAAAACGTGTGACAAGCCACTCCGAAGTCGACAGGAGCAAAACTGCGAACAGCAAGCTGCCAGAAATGAACGACGTGGTGTCGCAAACCAGTCCGAAGACTTGTGTGGAAAGCAATGCCTCGCCCCTCCCAACGCCGATGTCTTGGAGCATGTCGTCAGATTCACCCGGCGGGCCACAGGACTCAAGGAGCCAATCCCTCTGGGCATTTGTGGCATCTGCCTGTCTACGGCATCACTTACGACGCAATGCTGGGCAAATGTATCAAAGTCGCTCAACTTCGATTGGTACGCCACTTCGTTGGCCATAGAACCGCCTGGCTCGGCAACATCCGTGGGCAGGGGGGGGAGGAGGAGGAGGAGGAGGAGGAGGAGGAGGAGGAGGAGGAAGGAAGAGTGTCATGAGTGTGATAGATCCAAGAAGTGAACGGCGAGCGAGGCTCAACCGTCACCTTCGGCCTCCCAGACAGGAGGAAGGGGCCCGCAGGCGCCAGCACCGACGGTCAGGGGAAAGGCAGATACCTCGTCGCTCAGCGACACGCTGCCCAACCGAGACGGCGTGGTGCGCAGGGGACAGCCGGTTCACCGCGTCACCGCGCAGTACTTCCCGACCGTCACCCCTGCCGAATCGGATGGCATGTGCAACTGGGTTAACGAGGAGGAAGGATGAGGAGAGGAAGAGAAAGGGTGGAGGAGGGGCAATAGGAGTAAGAGTACGGATAGCAGCGCTGGGCGATGGCACGTCGTGACATTACGACGGCATGTCACTCAGATTCCGAAGTTCACGAGATTGAGCCGTAGTGCTGGCACCGTTACTTCATGATACCCAACCGCAGCGACACGAATAGCCATATCGTTTTCGCCGTGGATTCGGGCCTTCCACCACCAGGGTCAAGCCAAGCACGGCAGACGGGGTACGGCAACACTTCCATCAGCAGGCAGTGCCGCATGGTGGTTGGAAAGGCATTGGCGCTGTCACTGCGCAAACTTTACCTATACGGCAAAACTAGCTGCACCAAGAGTCCTATCGCACCAAGTACAGGCCAGCCCGAATGTACCGAGGAGTATGTCCTGGCGCGTCTGACAACCAGCGGCTGGGCGCACGGCGGACAGGATAAAGGAAGAACCTGACCCGCCAGGGGGCGTTCGACAGCTACACAGCAGCCACCCGTGCCAGGCATCCTATAACTCCTCCTTCTCCGCGTCCTCCTCCTCCTCGTCCTCCTCACCCTCCTGCTCCTCTTCCTACTCCGGCTCCTCGTCGGCGTCGTCCTCCTACTCCTCCGCCTCCCCCGCCTCCTTGACATCCTTTGCAGGGTCGGCGGAACCGGAGTCAAGATGGAACCCGTCAACCACACAGCGACTAGTCTCCACAAGAGCACTCAGGGTGGCAGCGAAAGGGCCGCGTGGAACACAGAGTGGCGAATCTGCCACTACCAAAAGCACAGCATGGAGTCAATGCCAAGGGAGCGCGTTCGTTGAAGCACTGCCGCAGGGTGGGGCTCAGATGGGCACGACGCCCCCGTACCCAGCCCTGCGAACGGGATGACGATGAAGACACACGCGGTAAAAGCATCACAACACTGCATGACGTGGAACTTGGATTCAGTCTGGCTTCGCCGCCAGGTAGGCTCACGCTGGATCACGACAGCGCGCAACATGAAGAAGACCGCCCCAGAGCTAGCCAAGCACGGCGCGTGAGGCTAGGACGGGGCGCACGACTCCGACTAAACCTGACAGCATGGTTGGGGCGTGCGGTCTGAGCCGCTACACGAGTGGAGGAACGGGAGGGGGTAAGGAGGGAACGAAGGGTAAGACGAGCAGGGGTAAGGAGGGGGGGCTTTCTCATCAGAGCTGCGACTGTCTGCTTACGCAAGCAGAGACACATGTTGCTTTCCCTGCTTGCGTAGGCAGGCAGGCTTGTTTCAAGTGCAACCGTTGCCTTGGGCAGATGGGGGCGCCCTCCTTTCAGCAAGCTCGCCCAAACACGAGAAACGAATGTTGCGGCGGGGATCTGGAGGCTCCGCTCTCACATACTCATGAAATGACTGGAGGAAGGGGGCATGAGAGGACAAAAGGGGAAAAGGAGCCCGAGTTGTGGACCGGACTAAGATCCGCTGGGGGGCAGGCGAACCTATACCTACCTCTACGACCGCCCTGCGGGCGATAAGGAGGTTGGGGTGGGATTGAGATCAAATGCCCACCCTGACTGACCTCCAGCCTGTCATCTTGATCTCATATCGCTCTTTCTCTCTGTCTCTCTCTCTGTCTCTCTCTCTCTCTCTCTCTCGCCCTCTCTCTCTTTCTCTCCCTCTCTATCAGAGTCTCCCTCCACCACAATGATGATCGCGATGACGATGAGATCCCGTTATCTACCTATCCGTCGACCGACCTATCGGTGAATCTCACTGTCGACCTCACTATCGACCTCAAAAGCAAAATAATAAAGCCCGCCGCAAGCGCAGAAAAACAATTTGTTGTCGGACAACCACAGGACAACCATCGGCACAACCATGGATTGGATAAGATAAGCTGGATTGGATAAGAAAGCCCGCCGCTGGCGCCGACAAAAATGAACTGATGGATTGGGTTGGGTGGATTGGATTGGCTGGGATAAGATGGATTGGATAAGATAAGATGGGTTGGATTGGAAGAGATGGATTGGATATGATAAGATGGATTGGATTGGCCCGCCGCAGGCGCAGAAACAAATTAATTATGGATTGGGTTGGACGGATTGGATTGGGTGGGAAACGATAAGAAGGGACAATATGGGTTGGATTGGACAATATGGTTTGGATAAGATGAGCTGGATTGGATAAGAAAGCCCGCCGCAAGCGCCGACAAACATGAATTCTGAAATTAGCGACATGCGTTAGCGCCGGGACGCCCGGGACGCCCGGGACACCCAGGACACCCGGGACACCGCCAGGCCCAACTGGGACACCTCCCGGCCCCCGGCCACCGGCGGACGGGAAACAGACTTTCGC